ACCAACTTCAGCATCCCCAGGGGGACGCCGCGGATGCCCTGCAGGCGGAGCTCCGGGGCTTCCTCGGCGAGCACGCCGACGACGCGGTCGTGGCGTCGTTGATTCACGGAAAGACCCGCCGCGGGGCGGGAAAGGGGGGGGCGAGAAGGGCCCGAAAAGCCCACCGCACCGAGTGAACGCCCGCCCTCCCTCCCCATACATCATCGCCGGAGGAAGCCCCCATTGGGGTGGTACTGCGCACCCAACCTAAGGGATGCGGTGTGGATAATCAGGAAAACCACCACAACGCGCACTCAGGGGAAGGGATGGGATCCCAAAGGGTGCTTGTGTGGTGGGGGATGTGCGTTAACACCTCGGACTGCCGCAAAAACGGCGGTAGAGAGGGGGGGTATGGGGTGGAAGGGTCTTTCTACTCAAACCGATTTTATTATTAATAATAGTGATGCTAAGACGTATAAATTGTTTTAAAGGAAAAAGGGCACCTTGCCACGGGGGGACACTCTTTGCTTACCCCGCTTCACTTGTTAGGATGCGTTTGATCTTCCTCAACACGTTCTTCCTTGAAATTTTCGATTCCCTTTGTTTAAGTGGACTTGCGTATTTCTTCTAGAGTGGCGCTTGGTCTCAGGAGAAAAAAAAGGTTTACAGTAGGGAACAACAATAAGACGATTCTAAACGAAGGTAAAGAAAGAAACAGCGTCTTTTTCGAAGGACTTCCTTTTATTGCCTCTTTTTTATTTTTACTTACTTTAAACAAACAACCAAACAAAAAGAGAAGTGCACGGTGTTTAGTTAGCTCCACGAGGTGTACACGCTAATTCTCCTCGAGACTACGCATTGGGATCCTCTTTCCTTTTGTATTTCGCCTCGATACGAAAGAAGCGGACCCGACCAAGCGCGTGCGCAACACTCCGCAGTACACTTCTGCGGGTGAAGGGAGGGAGGGTTGTTTTAGCGTCCGAATCCATCAAGCTCCTGTGAAAGGGCCATAAAGAACGCCCCAGGCCCGGACGGGGAAGTTCTGGATGAGCAGCTCGTCCTCGGGGTCGGATCTCTACCGGGCGGCGCCCGAC